GAGTTTAGATGTGAAATAGTTTTGTCCATTACAATCATTTTCTTCACAGTTTCTGAACTGACATATATTCATTGGGAACGAGAACCAATCTTTCTCTTAAAGCCCTATTTTGATTTTTAAATATATTTTAAACTATACTAGTTTTCTACTTTTATGAATAACCTGGGGAACCTGGCAGACGTTGTTCTGCCCTTCATATCACTTTCTTTCTTCGTCTCCCCCCTCAAGCAAAAATGTAATAGAATGTTCAAAAATATCTCAGCCGAGAGCTCAAAAGAGAAACTGCGCCTCAAAATTTCAGTTTCGAAAGTCCTAGAACGCTTCGTTCAGAGTTATTTAACTAAATAGATTTAAAAAATACTAACGCATGTATTGCGGGTTGCACGCGACAAATGTTTAGTTTTGTTGTACAACGCCATCTAGTGAATTTTCCCAATATTTTTATACTTATTCTGTTATTTGGGGCGAATGTGAACCCAATAAATCAGAGATAATTAAAATTTGTCTAGCCCTTCTTGAATTATAAATGCTGTAACTAACCCGAGTTTGTTATATATAATTTTATCAGCCGTATCAATAATTATCATTGTTCACCTTCCATGCAATACGAACGTTCTTCCTTCATTATTTTGGAATGTTGACCCATACGTTTCATTCTATGATTCACTTATGTGTACTATGTGGATAAAATTTTCTTCGATTTAGCCGAACAGGTAAATTTCCACTGGAAATTACAAAAATAAGAAATAAAGAAAAAAAAAACAATTCCTTGAGAAAATTTTGAAAACATTTCATTGTAACATGCATTTTATAAACAACACGAATTATAATGAAAATAAAAATTTTAAATATTTTCTTTTTGGGTGTATGCAATTAGAAGTGTAGTGTAACTCACTACCTGTAATCATTTTAAAACACATATGTACCTCCTTCAGAAATTACTAAAGAATGAACTTTTCGAAAGATCATACCGCTAGTTGACGATGTTTTGTAAGAAGTCCTGACAAGAATGCAAATCGAAGTCCATTCATTAAGCTCCCTTCATCGTGTCAGCGTCACAAACACACTTTCTTCTGCGTTCGAGAAAAATACTTCTTTGTATAAGATTTATTGCCGAAGAATGCAAAGAGAATTGAACATACTTCAAAGTGGTTACAAGTTAAATGATGTGACAGTTTCCTAGAGAACAAATATTACAAGAAAAAGCTGATATAGTAACTAAGTGCGGCAGCATTTGCCAAACACAAATGATTGCCGTAAATATTTCCATCGAGAAGGATAGAGGTCGGGGATATATATATAGTTATGCCGTAAACAAGTTTCCTATTATCTTACTGTAAATGAATGCTGTATATTCATGAGCCTTTCGCTATCGTCCAGATGACAGCACTTGCAAGTGACCTCGGTACTTGCATTGCTACATTGTTTCAACTTTAATTCATTTCATGTTTCGGACCGCTCGTTTTTCAAGTTAACAAATTACATGTTAATATTGAATATATTGCACTATATTGAATTATAGTGCACGATCAGCAGAATCTACTTCCAAAAACAACAATCCAAATTTAATCTCTTCTCTGTAATAAAGAATATTGTAATAAGAAAACATTTATTTACAGTGAGGAGGGAATTACGGTATCTAGATATGTTTCGAACCATTACTTTTCACATAAAGCTTTTAGGTTATTTTGTTGTCGTCGCCAAAAATCGTAAAAAATGTTATAGACGTAAGAAAAGAGAAAAAATATAATTAGGTTCATGAGTAACGCAAGGGACCATTTAAGTATTCGGTCAATGGATTAGGGGAAACTAAACGATAAACTAGATGGACGAGAGAGAGACATTTCAGAAGATCTTGAGAATAGATTTTGCACGGAGCCTATACTTTAATTTTTAATTATCTTATTCTAAAGTACTAATTCATCAACTCTATTACTTTTAAATTGAACGTAATTCTTATATTTATCTGATAATAAATATTGCTTTTAAACGTATAAACTCAGTATCAGCATTTACCAATTACAAATGTCAAAGCCATTTACTCGACTACTTGCTAGCCTTTTGTCTCGGTGCTTAGCGCGCAAGGCATCTCGAGCGGATTCATGAAAGAAGGTGATAAAAGGTGATAGAAGGTGGTAAAAGGTGCGTCCACAAAAAACCTTCGTTCATCACGTGCGCGTCGGCGCATTTCGTATCCAAGCAGGTGCCGTCCGCGCACCCTTCCTGGGGGGAGGCTGGGCGGAGCCGGCGTCCCGAACGTGTCGACGCATCCGCTGCGTCAGTCGACGCCGCGGGCGGGCGGGCGGGGCGGCGGGGCGGGGTCGGGGCCGGGGCGAGGCGGGCGGAGGCGGGAGCGAGGGCGGATTGGGGCGAGAGCAGCGCGAAAAAGACGCGGGTAAATCCTGATCAGATCTTAGGGAAGGCTTGCCCGCCGGTGAGCGGCGAGGGCGCGGCCCCATTCAAAGAGTGCTTGACATCCGTGCTCGGCGCAGCGGCGGGCGCGGGGATCGGAAAGGCAGGGATGGCGGCGAAGGCGTAGGGGTTTGACGGGGTGATGGAAGGTGGGGGTTGAGTTTGGCTGATGGTAAGACGTGGTGTGGCAGGGGTGGTGTTGGCAGAGGATAGTGGGGAAGTGAGGTGAGAGGTAAGTGCCCGAGCTAGTCGCCCAGCTATCGCCCTAGTCGCCCAGCTAGTCGTCCGAGAGCGTCAGCTGCGTCCAGCTAGGCGTCCCAGCTAGGCGTCCAGCTAGGCGTCCAGCTAGTAGCAGCGTCCAGCAGCTCCCAGGGCGTTCCAGCTAAGGCGTCGCAGCGTCAGCTAGCGTCATCAGGCGTCAGGCCGTCCAGCCTAGGCGTCCAGCTAGGCTCCAGCAGGGTCCACTACGGCGTCGCTAGCTTCCAGGGCGTCCAGCAGCTCAGCAGGCGTACTGCCAGCTAGGCGCCGCTACGCCAGCTAGGCGTCAGCAGCGTCAGTGCGGTCCCAGCTAGCGTCCAGCTAGGCTCAGTAGGCGGTCTAGTAGGCTCCAGCTAGGCGTCCAGCTAGGCCGTCCAGCTAGGCGTCCAGCTAGGCGTCCAGCTAGGCGGTCCAGCTAGGCGTCCAGCTAGGCGTCCAGCTAGGCGTCCAGCTAGGCGTCAGCTAGGCGTCCAGCTAGGCGTCCAGCTAGCGTCCCAGCTAGCGTCACAGCTAGCGTGCCAGCTATGTCGACAGCTAGGCGTCCACTAGCGCGCCAGCTAGCGTCCAGCTAGGCGTCCAGCTAGTACCAGAGTCCAGCTAGGCGTCCAGCTAGGCGTCCAGCTAGGCGTCAGCTAGCTTCCAGCTAGCGTCCAGCCTAGGCGTCGCTAGCGTCAGCTAGCGTCAGCTAGGCGTCCAGCTACGGCGTCCAGCTAGCGTCCAGCGTAGGCCTGCTGCGCCCAGCTAGGCGTCCTAGCTCAGTAGGCTCCAGCGGGTATGCAGCTCCAGCTAGGCGTCGCAGCTAGGCGTCCAGCTAGCGTCTCAGCTAAGGCGTCCAGGCTAGGCGTCCAGCTAGGCGTCCCTAGGCGTCCAGCTAGACGCCAAGCTCGGACGCCAAGCTCGACGCCCAGCTCGACGCCCAGCTACTACTAAAATACAATAAAACGCAGGAGGCATTACATACACATAGTATATTATTACGTATCTCTCTCAACAA